CGCGCCTGTGCCAAGCTGCCAGGTCGCGCCTGGGCCAGGATGCCAGGTCGGTGCCTATGCCAGGCCGCCAGGTCGAGCCTGTGCCAGGCCGCCAGGTCACGCCTGTTCTAGGCCGCCAGGTCGTGCCTGGGCCAGGCCGCCAGGTCACGCCTGTTCTAGGCCGCCAGGTCGCGCCTGGGCCAGGCTGCCAGGTGGGACACCATCAACTTGGCTAAGGCAAGTTATTGCCAAAGTGGTTCCGGGTGTCACTTAGTTGTTCCGAGGTGTCATGTGTCACAATATCATTGGAGGGCCAAATCCGCCCTTATCACCTATTTATCCTTTCCCCCGCCATTTATTTATACCTATTTAAAGAAAGTTTCAATTAAAAATTTTAAGAATTATTTAAATATTCTAACAAAATTATATGATGAATTTAAAATATTTGTTAAAAACACAAAAAATAATTCTAATAGATTTAACAATATTCATATTATTAATAATTTTATATTTTACAAAATTCATGATGAAATTATGTACTAACAATATAAATTATGATCTTTCAAATTACTCAACTTAAATGTTATTCAAATAATAAAAAATTAACATTAAAAATAAAATATTATTTAAATAATTCAATAACTAAAAATATTAAATAAGAAAATATTAAAAATAGATAAATAATTATATAAAAAATATTTAATATTATGTAACATCTTTAAAATAAATAAAATTGAAATAATAAAATTTTTTAATAATTTTACATGTCATTTAAATATTCAAATAAGAAAATATTTATCATAACTAGATTTTAAATAGTTAAAATAACGAAATAATGTAATAAATTAAAAAAAATCTTAAAACAGGAAAAATAATTATAACATATTATTGAAATTAATAATAATTGTGATATTTTATTGAAATACTTGTTTAATTGTTTATTTCTATTATTACACTTTTTTAACAAATCCCATGCATCGCATATATATATATATGTATGTATGTATGTATGTATGTATGTATGTATGTATGTATGTATGTATGTATGT